AGGATAACTAAAAGCTAATTTCCCCATCCCATCCTTAAATTTCTATAGGTGGGTTAGTAAATTGATATCAGCAACATTAAGTTGATATGCTTTATTCAGGGTATGAACACAATACGTGAACTGGGTAAAATAGTCATTAGAGTTGCAGTTAGAACCTAGGAAAGTAGTTCATTTTTAAATGGACCTTTCTATATACACTATTATATAAGCTGTTTTTTTTGTTTTTTTGTTTTTTGTTTTTTTGCCTCACTGCTTACCTGGAAAACTTTGCATGTCAGTGCACATACTTCCATCTCATCTTTTCTAACAGCTGCTGGGAATTTTTTTTTTTTTTAAGATTTTATTTATTTATTTGACAGACAGAGATCACAAGGAGGCAGAGAGGCAGGCAGAGAGAGACGAGGAAGCAGGCTCCTCACTGAGCAGAGAGCCTGATGCGGATTTCAATCCCAGAACCCTGGGATCATGACCTGAGCTGAAGGCAGAGGCTTTAACCCACTGAGCCACCCAGGAGCCCGCTGCTGAGAATACTATGACATGCACGTGCTAGAATTAATATAACAACTCCCCATTACTGAGCATGTGGATTGTTGAAAGAGCTTTAATATTATAAACACGCTGTAGTAAGTATCTCTGTTCATATATCTGTGTCTGTTATTTGATGAAGATAAATTCCTAGATGTTGAACTTCTGGTTCAAAGTGTATGCATATTTAAATTTCTGTATTTATGACAGATTGCATTCCAGAGAGCCTGAATCAATTCACAACTCCACCAACAATATATCAAAAACCCCTTTCACCCACTCTTGCTCGTCCTTGGAATCTCTCAGTCCAATAGGCAAATTTAATCACTTGTTTAAAAAAAAAAAAAAAAGTCCCTAAAGGAACTAGACTTATCAACCAGGTCTCCTGCTCCCCCCTCCTTTTTTTTGATAGTATACATATGAACAGTGAAGGGGGAACTAGGGTATTTCAAAGTGAAAGTTCCAAACCATTTAAACTAAATACAAACCATATCAATGCATCACCAACAAGGACTAAAACTGCAAAATAAGGATTTTCGGTAAACCCCAAAGAACGTTTATATGGAGATCACAAAGATGAAGAAACAGCTTAGATTATTGTCTCGGGAGAGGTCTTCCCTTGAAATGTAGGTAACACCCTTGAGGCATTTCAGTAAATGGGATCTAAGGCTTCAGTAGAAGAGAATAGCAGGTTAATGACATATATATGAAGTGAGTCAGAAGGCAGGATGGTCTTAAAAACTGGATGTGCCTGAGCACATACTATATTAGAACGAAAATGAATAAGGTGTTTGAATAGAATTGGCAGCAGTATGCTGAAACTAAAATGGATATTTATCTTCCTTAAAAACGACTCTTTCTGATGTAACCTCCTTGGCAGGGTCTTCAAGACTCTTTTCCTTGATAGGCATGATTTCGATGGATGAGATAAATAGGGGGGTAAAGAATGAGCCAACTCCCTTTGAAAAAATTATTTATAGGTGATCAGGACCAACATTTATTATTTATTGGAAGGATAAGCTCTAAAACAGTGGTTCTCAAACTGGCAGCATGAGCATCACCTGGGAATCTGTTAAAATGAAAAATTTCAGGCTCCACTCCACATGTACTGAATCTGAAACTCTGGGGGAGAGGGCCAGCACTCTGTTTTAACCAGTCTTCCTGGTGATTCTGCTGCACTGTCTCTGGGTAGTTAAATCATTAAATTATTTACCATCAATGTTTTTAAGGTTGTCTTTTTTTTTTTTTTTTTTCAAATTACACTCAACTTCCCGAAGTTTGGAAAATGTAAAATTATAAAAAGATGATGATGAAAGAGATGGATTATTTAAAGACACCTTCCTAAAAAGAATGTGGTGCTTTAAGAATTCTGCCTGGTATTTTGAAGTGCACAGTTCAGCAAGCGGTGGGGGACCTGCTCTATGTAAACTGAAATTGCTTCTTCTAGGTTCGGTTTTCGGGCAGTCCTTCACAGATGGTCTACATATTTCCATAATATATCTGCTATGAACTTATTTGTCATTTGACTCATCTACATAGGCCTATCATGACAAAATGTCATCTTGACCAAAGGAAGTATTTTTCTAAAAATCTCTAAAAAGAGATCAAAGTCTTTGGCACAAGGCTTTAAATAGACTGTATTATGTTATGCACATGTTGAAAACAATACTATTTTCCTGGGGAAAAATGTGTTTGAACAGTATCTTGTTAATTTCTTTCTCTGGACAGGCAGAGAAAGTCTTCCTCCAAAATGCTGTGGATAGTATACGTGCAGTTTTTAAGAAAACTGTCGAAGTGTCATCTAGAGTACCACTTCGTGTCCATACCAGCAGCATAGGAGAATTCAAACTGTTCCACATCCTTGTTGACATTTGGTATGGTGGTATGGTAGCCATCCTATCAGGCCTGTAGTGGTGTCTTACAGTGGTTTTAATTTGCATTTCTCTAATGACTAATGATGCTGAACATCTTTTCCAGTGCTCATTTTGCCATTTATCTATCTTATGATCCAATCAATTATTCTTTTTTTTTAATCTCAAAATAAATACAAGCACATTTCCATACAAAGACATGGATCCTTGCCATGGTCTGCACTTTGTCCCTCCAAATCCTTATGGTGAAGCTCTGACCCCCAGTGTGACTGTATTTGGAGATAGAGCCTATCAGGAGGTAAGAAGGGTAGAAGAGATCATATGGGTGGGGCCTTGGTACCATAGGGTTAGTGCCCTTATAAGAGACTGTGTAGGGCTTGTGCTGATTCCTACGCCTTCCAACAAGAAGGAGGTTATGCAAGCACGTGGGGGGATGGCAGGCATCTGTACGCCAGGAAGAAAGGTTTTACCAGAAACCAACCATGCTGGCATGCAGATCTTGGACTGCCAGCTTTCAGAACTATGAGAAAAGTGACTGTTGTGTAAGCCACCCAGTCTGTGGCATTTTGTTATGGTGATCTGAGCTGACTGGCATGATCCTCATAGCGGGATTTGTAATATCTAGATTATTGGTAACAGTACAAAACTGGAAACCACACAAATGAATGGATAAGTGAGTTGTGGTACACACACATTAAGGAATACTAATGAGCAATACAAGTGAATGGACTGTTGGTATATACAACAACACAGACACATCTAAGTTACGCTGAGTGAAACAGACCAGACAAGAAAAAAAAAAAAGAGTCTTCACTATTATGCCATTTCTATTAAAATCTAGGAAATGCAGATAATCTATAGAGACAGAAAGCAGAGCTGTAGTTGCCTGGGAGTGAGGTGTGGTGAGGAAAAAGAAGGAAAGATTACAAAGGTACAGGAGGGAATTTTAGGGGGTGATGAATACATTTACTAGCTTGATTGTAGTTATGGTTTCATGCACACCTACGTCAAACTTATCAAACTATATACAGTTTACCGTATGCCAATTAAAGTTCAAAAAGTCTGTTAAAAAAAAAAAACTAACAACCTGTGGAATCTTCCTATTATCTCCAGGAAGCTCCAATTCTGTGTTAAAAAGACTTTTTTTTTTTCTTCTTTTCTCCAATCTCTGACAAAGAAATGGAAAAGAAAGTGCTTCACTCAGAAAGGGCTCTCATATGTATGGGAATTCATGGCTTTGTACTCTCCTTTGTGAGGGGCCTGGAACAGAACCTTGCCTTCACCCCAGACCCCCAGCCTTTTCATTACCATTGGAGGTAAAACAAAAACAAAACAAAGTCAAAGGACATAAAACAAGTGTCAGTGAAACTCAAAACTGGGAAACAAATGGTTATACTTAGATTTTACCTTTTGTTTTTGCAAGCACAGGTGACCCTATTGGATATTGTGGTAAAGAATGAAAACCTGGGGGCACCTGGGTGGCTCAGTGCGTTAAAGCCTCTGTCTTCAGCTCAGGTCATGATCCCAGGGTCCTGGGATCCAGCCCCGCATCGGGCTCTCTGCTCAGGGGGGAGCCTGCTTCCCCTTCTCTCTCTCTCTGCCTGCCTCTCTGCCTACTTGTGATCTCTGTCAAATAAATAAATAAAATCTTTGAAAAAAAAGAATGAAAACCTGTTATGAAGCCTTTCAATCACATTTGATAATTTATGTCGGGAACATTCAGTTACAGAAAAGCCTCCAGAAGTAAAGAAGTTAAAATCCAGAATAATGTGCCAGCTCATGTCAGGCAAAACACTGACAACACAACCCAAAGTTGGACTTGATTAGGAATTCAAAAACCGGTTTCAATTTCACAGCAACCTTACAAGATACAATGGCGTTGGGTTCTTCGCTTTAGGTAAAGTTCATACTAAACATGAGGGTTTATGTCTATTGCAATTTGGGGATTGTGCTAATTCATGTTTAGATGGGCCGGAGATAACAGGAATTATCTTAGACACAAGGCAGTGTCTTAGAAGGTCCTTTGTGGCAAATGACTATGGAAGGAAACTCCCTCCGAAGTTGCAAATTGTTCATTTCCATCTACTGTGCTGCGGTTGCCAGTATTTTTTCCTTGAAATATTTGAGATTTTAAAGAAATTTTGTGAGTTTTGACTACCTACCTTATAAGTGGTAGAAGAGGGAACTAAAAACTATAAGACGCCAAAGTTCTTGCCCTTTCTAATACACAATATGAAGTGGAGAAGTTTTCTGGGAGGCTTACCGTCAACCCTGCCCCACGTTCTCCCTCCTCGTCGGTTCTGACTTCTACTTGCATTGACTGGCTGCTGGTTCCCAGCTGGAGAACACAGACTGCACCTGCTCCGAAGGCCAGCGGGGCTCTGGCCTCATCCGGCGCTCAGCCTCTGCTGCTCGTGCACGGACAGGAGGACCCACCAGGGGTCACTGCAGCCTCAGAGCTATTGTGCCCGCCAGTCCTGGACACGGCCCGTCGCGCGGAGGGCGTGGGACTGGGAGCGCCGAACGCCAGGGTCCGAGCAGAACTGCGCCGGGTCTTCCTGGAGCCACCCTCCGGTCTCTCTGGGAAACCCACAGGGCCAGCGCTCCCGACAGCGGCGCGGCCAGGGTGCGGCGCGCGGGTTCCCGTGCGGACCTGCCCGCACCTCGCGGTTCGACCACCTTCGCTCCGCCTTCCGCCCTTAGCCGGGACCCCGCCCGGAAGGGGCGCCCCTTCCCGGCCTCTGGGCCCCCGCTCCGCTCAGGGCTCTCTGCTGACGCCGGGGCCCAGCCCAGCAGCACCTGGGCTGCTCCCGCCCGGGGCGCCACCCCTCGCGCCGCCTGGAGAACTTTCCCGGGAGCCGCCGCGGCCTGCGCGCCCAGGGCACACCCCCATCCGCCAGCTGGCGCGTTCCCAGCTTGGGCTCCCGCTTCTCCGCCCGCCGGCGCGCCCGCAAGCCCTCCGACTCCCCACTTCTCAGAATCTCCCGGAGGAGCAGCACTCCGCCGCCACCGCAAGGCGTTCTCGGAGAGCGAGCTTGAACTTGGCTACACACAGTCCCTCATGATGAGTTCCAGGGTTCCCAGACGGGAGCCGTGCCCCGCCGAGAGCTGACTTGCGCTCGCCAGTCTCGGTAAGGAGCCCGCGGCCCTTTCCGACACTCTTCGGGCGGCTGGGTGCCCGCGGGATGGGGTGGCGGAGGTAGCTGACTGAGTGACGGCCCTCGCCACTGGCCCTGCACTGGGACTGGGGCGTCGTGGGTACCCCTGACACAAAGGAACGGCCGAGGATTCCCAACCAGCGGACGGGACTGGTGGCTGCGGGGTGGGGTCGGGGCTGGAAGTGCAAGCCCTCCAGGGACTCCGCAGGGAAGGGAGGCCGAGTGTCGCGGCTGTGCTCCAGGCGGGCTGAGGCGAAGGGGACTGCACAGCTCCCAGGGTTTTTCTCCTCTGGGGAGGGCCTTGAGCTCGCGTCCCTCCCTTTTCCTGTTTCTTGCCCCCATTGCCAGGCGACTTTTGTCGTCCCCAGGACTGCGGGAGGGGCCGCGGCGCCCCCGCCTTCGGAGGAGCCTGAGCCGCAGGATGCGCGGGGACGCGCCGCCGCCCTCCGCGCTCAGTTCCGCCGGCGCTTCTCCGGCGGCTCCCGGGCGCTGACTCCACCGGCTTCTCCGCCCTTCTTACCTCCAGCCGGCGCCGGGCGCCTCGTCCGCGTGGCCCGGGACTCCGCCGGGAACCGGCCCTTTCGCCCCGGCCGCCGCGCGGACAATAAATTAATGCCTCGCGCCTGAGGGGAGGGGGCGGCTCGGTGCCTGGGTCGCAGCTTTCTCTCCTGACTGGAGACAGCCACAGCCGACATGGGCTGCTTCTGCGCTGTTCCGGAAGAATTTTACTGCGAAGTTTTGCTTCTGAATGAATCCAAGTTAACCCTCACCACCCAGCAGCAGGGCATCAAGGTAGGCGCGGGCCGGGGGCGTGTCCCGGGGGGTGGGGGGTCGGCAGCCGGGCAGGCTCGGGGGTCCGCGGCTTTGTCTGAGGGCTGTCAGGGTCTCGGCGGGTGCCTGCTCTCCGCGCGCTGGTTAGGAGCCGCAGCTGCCCTGCGCTCAGGTACAGGGTGGACGGGTCCGGGGGGATTGACTTGGAGTCCCTTCATAAAGGGAAGTAAGTTTCATGTCTCAGGGGGGAGTCCGCCATCCACTCTTCAGTTGCAACCCACAGTCCTGCAACGGAGACCAAAACTCTTCCCAGCACCGGTTTCCTCCCAGAGCATCTAAGGCCCCCGCAGCTCCAAAGAGGCGCAGAACCGAATGTACCGGCTGCCTACAGTGTTGAAGGCACGATTTCCCTTGGCTTTGTCGAGGGGTTTTTTTCTCTTAGGGTCATGGGGCAGTGAACATATAGTTCACTCGCTGGAACACGTTTACCGGGTTGACTGTGCTGGGTGTGTAGTTGGGTAATGCTACGTTTGGACGGAAAATAATTTCCAGTCTACAAGCGAACTGGTTTTATCCCCACGTTTAAGTAAACATCTCTCAAAGCGCCTCGGTACATAACTTTGCGCCCGTTTGTAGTCCATTAAAATGCAATTACTGCTATTAACCTGGAGAACCCAGGCTGTGGGAGATTGCAGAGATCCACTTCCTTAATTTTGATGAGTTCTTATGTTTATGGTTGACAACCTGCCGGACGCGCCTGCGCGCTTGTTTTGCTCTTGCTACAACGTTAACTACCCAAAGGTGATCCGAATTCGGAGCGTTTTGTTTTGTTTCTTTTTCTGCATATTTAAATGGCCGGAGCAATTTAAATAACCTTCGCAGCTGAGTCCAGTGAAGGGCTACCGCTCCTCCTCCGCATTATTGCCCCCCACCCTCCATCCCCGTACAGCTGCCGGTGCCGTCTTCTAGTCTTGTATGTCAGAAGTTAATCCCAATGGCGCAGGCCCTCGGCATTTCCTTGTGTGAATCAGTTTTTACACAGCTTTATGTACACTAAAGTAACTGTAACTGGCCAAAAGCTTTAGCTTTGAGGTCACCATTTCTGGTGCACAGAATTCTAATTTCACAGGTGTCATTCTTAAGCAGGAGATGGGGGCTAAAGTGATCAATTAAAGCCACAAGATAAAGTTAACCTTTTCTTCCCTGGAAATTGTTTTGAACATTGTCTCCCAGGAATTATAAAAAGCAAACGTCAATCAGATTCTCATTTGGTGTTTCCCCTCAAGGCCGATAAAGGACTCCTGGAAAAGGGTGTTTCATATTTTCATACTTTATATTTCCAGCTTTTCTTTATGTTCCACTCCCTCCCTCCCCCCATGAAACCGGGGTGGGGGGGGTACTTTCCAAGAGGATGTAGCATTCTTTGGTGTACTGTGCAAATAGGCAAAAATCACGAAACATAAATTTTTGATAATACAGAGATTCTCTTTGGCTTGGGGAAAGAAACAATTAGAAAAAGATAATGGATGATCTGATACTAAAACAACAAATCTTTCTAAAGTGCACAGTCTAAAGTCATCTGGAGTGTGAGCTTCCTATTTAATCATGAAAGCCATACCCCTGTCAGCTGTGGAGCACATACATTATTCTGTCAGGGGAGCAGCCAAGACTTGGGATCAAATGGAATAATTTTGTCAAAGGAACATGAATAAGAAAATCCTGATCCATAATTACTTTTTAGAACCTGATGGAGCTTATCTTGTTTTACAAATGAATGTTGGAAATTGGTGAGTGATTCAAAGGCAATAGCAACTTTATAATGCTGTTATTTGGAGTATATGCCATTTAACTAAACAATAATTTAAGCAGGCTTTTGTTGGAAGTAATCATTTTGCAACAGGCTTGGCCTCTTTCAGTGTCACAAAAGCATGCCACAATTATTTTGATGGCCATATGTGTAACACAGATGTTGTCTGCTGAAGTTAACCACATTATCTGTAACTACCAGGCTACCATTAAATGCATGTGTTAAGCACCTATCTACTTGTGGTATGTACTAAATTAAAGACATGTGTGTATTTATAACTGGAATAATGCATGAATAGCGTCTCACATGCAGATGCTATTCAAACATTGAATAGATATGTGTATATTATTATTCTGTACATATTTGGCATTTTAACTCCTACTTTAGTTTGTAAATGAAATAGTCAACTAAAATGTAAATGAAATAGTCAATAGCTACTATTATGGTGTTTTCCCCAGGATAGTACACTTGGTAACTTTTATTTTCATAATTAATGAAAATAAAATAAAAGTTAAGCATATGACATCAATTGGGCCATTTTACTTCTGAAATTAAAATAGAAAAATCTCTCTTATTTTTCAAAAGTATTTCCTAACATTTTGAGATGACCCTTTCCACATTCTATCTCAAATGAAATGAAGATAGTTAATTTTGCATTAAAATTATTCACTTATTTTGTCCCTTTGTGGAAGCATGGATTTTACTGATGGGATTTTAGTGATTCCTAAGTATTTACTTAAGAATTTGCTTGTATTACTGTTATAATAATGCATTGTGAGCTGAAAAAATTAATTGTAGTGAATTTAAGTAGAAGAAATGTGAAAGTTGGTAAAACATTTTTTCTGTGTGCCATTTTGAAAAACACTTTTTAGATTTGTTTAAGCACCAAATTACAAATTGAAGTTAGTCATGAAGTGATTTTCTGCAACTTACCTAAAAGTCTTTCATCAACTAGAAAAAAAATTGATGTGTTTGCTCCCATGGAAAGCATTTCAGCCTGGAGACAATAGTTAGACATCATCTATGTCAAGATGAATAGCATTTAAATGGAAAATAATTTTCTGTTTAAAAAATAAAGCACACTGTATTTGTATTCATACTAATGTTATATAGAAATTTGCTTCTTAACTTGCCTTAGAGGTAACCTCACCTTGACAAGCGGGAAGTCTTTTCGCATGCAGTTTATAATTTGAGCCTTATCCAAGACTTAAGAACCCAAGTTTATATAAACCAAAAGCTATTGGTTGTGTGTTGACCCCCACAATAGTTTTTAGTTGTTTGTTCTATGCTGCTATCTCTATTGTTTGTTTAAGTAAGAATTTCTGCTGTGGTTGGTCTTCTGGTTTTTTGAGTAATGTTTGTTCAGGGAAACTTTTGTTATGTCCTTTGTAGTTCTTTGTGCTGGGGGAGGTAAAAATCTTACTTTTTGTTCTCTGAGAAAACAAAATTTGATTGTGGCTCAAACTACTTGAATACATTGTCAAACAATTAGCAAAAGATTTTCCAGGGGAAAAAAAATTGCAAGGTTTGATTATAAATTTAGTCCTCAGAATTCCTGCTGCAAATGTGAACTAGATTAATAATTTCATTTCAGTGAGGTTTTTGTGCTCCGAGCACTGATGTAATAAACACTGAGGTGCTCATTTTTCCCTTGTTGTATTTGCCTCAATTAATGAAACCAATATGACAGCAAGATGGAAATTCCATTAACTTTTTTAAAAGGCGTTATTTGACATACACAGTTCACACAGTTGAAGTGTGCAATTTACTCATTACCTTCTAAGTGAAGTTTCTTCCTAATCATCCTGAGGTTTCTGAGGAAATATTGTCAGTTTTGATGTTTTGATCAGAAACTTCCTAATAACCTAGAAAAGCAGTTACAAGGTGGGGATTTAAATTATTTGCATCTCACTTACCAAGGATTGTCATTTCCAGTCTATTTGGACCAGTGAAGAAAACATCTAAGAAGATTGGAACACAGTGAAAAGCAGCAGTGCTTCATAAATTGTATTAAATATATATGTGGATACCTATGTCTTCTAATATCAACCTCATAAGGTATAGAGTCAGGGACTTGATAAACATAGGTTGAAGTAAGTAATCATACACCAACATTTCTGTCAATGTGAGGCTGGGTGTGGGTCTTGATTGTTTGGTAAATTAGACGTGACTGGGATAGAAGCCTCTCTCATCAACACTGCCGCTTGTTTCAGAAATTCAAATAGGATATCTTGTATGATTGTGGCTGTTGAAGATGGACTACTACTAAATGCTCTTTCAGATATCTTTTTGTTTTTAAAATGATTCAAAGTATTTTTTCAGCTTTATAAAGGTATAATTAACAAATGGAATTAGATTGAATTGTACGGCATGATTTGATAGAACATAAGTTGCAGAAGGATTCCCACTATTCCACCATTCAGGTAATGAACACATCCATTATCTCACATAATTACTTTCTGTTGTTGTTGAGAATATGTGAGTTCTACTCTCTTAGCAAATTTCAGTTCTACAATATAGCCTTATCAAGATCCTCAAACTGTAAAGTCCCCTCAACCCCTCAATTTTGTAACTTTTTTTTCCTTGAAAAAAAAAAAAAGGTTAAAAATACCATTTATCATCCATGGTTTGAAAGTGATTTAAAAGTAATTTAAGGGAGGAACATTGTTGGCCCCGTAATGGCTGTCCTTCACCAAGTGCTTATAATTTCATTGGTTTTTGGTGGACTGTACTTTTTTTTTAAGATTTTTATTCATTTGACAGAGATCACAAGTAGGCAGAGAGGCAGGCAGAGAGAGAGGGGAAGCAGGCTCCCTGCTGAGAAGAGAGCCCAATGTGGGTCTCAGTCTCAGGACCCTGGGATCATGACCTGAGCCAAAGGCAGAGGCTTAACCCACTGAGCCATCCAGGTGCCCCTGGACTATACTTTTTTTTAGCCCTGTTAATATCATTGTTCTTGAATTCTGTAATGTTAAGCTTCAACTGACTTTGAACTAAACTTCAACTAGTGCAGAGCGTTGAGGAAGCACTGGCTGGCTCAGTCAGAGGAGCATATGACTCTTGATCTTGGTGTCATGAGTTCAAGTTCCATGTTGGAAATAGAGCTTACTGGAAAAAAAAATTATGCAGAGCTTTTTTTTTTTTTTTTTTTTTTTCTTTTGACCATGGATATTGTCTTAGTCCATTTGGGCTGCTACAATCCGTATCACAGACT